CCGCTTCCAAGAAGTGAAACTGGACTCTTCTGATTTCTCTCCCTGAGATTAGTAATTTCAGAAGTATGGGGTCCACTAGCAATCATTGGCCGCCTGTGCCAATCGAGCCTAAACACGACCCCAAGTGGTTTTTCATAGCTGTAAGTCTAACATTTCTTTGTCCGAAAGGATTTTACTGTGAGAAGGTACATTCAACAGGAGTGGAATACATAATCAATTCACTATCCTGTTTAAAGGGATATACGACGCACATTGTGAAATACCATCATTTCACCTTCTATTCCTTCTCGGTGTTCAGTTTCCTGTAATAGACGCACACATTCCGAGAACAGGTAGGGAGATAAAGCTAGAGGTGACGGTAATATTAACACGCCGATTTGATCACAGGTGGCGAGCCGTGGTCTGACCTATGAACTATACGCCAGTGGTGATATGTATTCTGTCGAAGCTAATCCGCAAATCACTAGAACTATCTGTGATTAAACCGGTAACCATGACCAGGGCCTAGCATCAAAATCGACATAAGTATTGAACGTGAAATAAGTCATTAATCCATAGTGATGTCGCAGAACCCCCCTCTCACAATTCCAGTGTATATATTGGTAGTATTAGTTGCATTTCGAACCTGACTAGCTCCACTAACCACGTAATTGTACCTGCTTCCGGCTGATGAGTCTTCAGCAAGGTGAAACGCACGTCCTAGATCCTACCGCTAGCTACTTTTCATCATTACTGTGAACACACAATATAGGTCCGGACATAAGGTCTTCTCTACGCAGCAGCAGTGGCCCACTTAAACTCGGATGACTTTCGACAGGATTTATTTCATTAAATCCAGCCCTCTGATTTGTTTTAATTTTATAAGGGTCTTTTTAACACATCAAGTACTCCAGAGCACTCAAAATGGTTTCAAACTGCTGTTTTTCAAGCTAACAGCAAAACAAAGAATAAACGATACAGCAGTAAGAAATAAGCTTATAAATGCAAAGAGATACAATTTTGGTACTGGTTGAATAAATTACCCCTACAAAAGTTATACTCGATATCTTATTAATTCACCTGTTTAAACCATATGCTAATATTAGCTTTTGGTTTGGAATATTCGAGGAATATCGTGCGTCGCCCTAGATGCGGGTTTCTGCCCCAAAGTTACAAAGCAAGCCCAAAGTAAATGTTGGCTGATATATAACACCAAATGCCCGTTTCACACTGTAACTCTTATTACTATTATCATCAACATTATTCAAATACAGGGATTATTCTGCTTAGAGATATTGTACGGAGAATGAATTTCCTCGAACTGTTATATACCGAGAATTACATTATCACTATTTTTCCCTTGGGTTCCTATTGGAACATGTGGCTTCAGTAGCGCATTTCCATTCCACTCTGTTCTCTGCAGTTTCTTGGACTTGGCTCCACCACTGCCCACAAGTTTCACTTATTCCTCGCATGATCTCCTCCATGTCACCTTGGACGTTCAACTCAGCTTCCCATTTGGATTCCACTCGAGGACCTGGCCTGGTGTGTGATGTCCCCAATCGGCCTTCTCAGTGTATACCCAATCCATCTCCACTTTCTTCTGTATATTTGTTGGGTGATAGGTTCTTGCTCCGTTCCCGGAGTTCCTGGTCGCTTACTGATTTCTCGCCTTCTCATCTTCAGTATCGAGCGTGGGCTGCAGCTGTTGATGAATGACTGTAGTTTATTGGAATTACATACTGTACCACAAGTCTTGTTTGAAAAGGTTATTGTTGTGCAATTTGACTGACTCGATAAACATGAGTTGGTTGCAGATTAATCTAGATAGACGTATTCATCTCTGTAATGAAGTGTGATCTTAATTTGCTCAACAACCCAGCTCAGAAAACACAATACAACTAAGACTACCTACCACAGCTACAAATATTCCCCACCATTTCATAACTTATTGAGACGTCTACATTTCCATATATCTTTGGCACTTTTATTGTTCATTCAAGATTTAACATTAGCAATGAACCTTATTTACTCACTTCCTCTTCTCTTGTTTCCTTTAAACGTTTATCATTTCCAATTAATTTCTTTTTTGGCATGCCGAGGTGAAGTGGGTCAACTCATACTAAGGAATTTTTGCACCAGGTTGCATGTGGATTTATCTATCGTTGGTGTTATTGCCTAAACTAGAAATCTCCGTCACTTTTCATGTCTTTAAGCTTCTAGTGCTACAAATATATCGTATTAGAACCAAGTCTGTACATATTACAATTAGTGACAGCTTACAGATCAATTTTTGGCTAATAAATGTAGAATTTGGAGCAGTTAGTGCCTTTGATAAATTTCCATAGTATAATAAGAAGACGGACAATCTGATCACACACACATTAACTTGTCAAGGCATTTTATAAGAAGGATGAAAATAAGGTGGGGTAAAATAAGTAAGTTAATTATCTCCTGTGGTTTGGCAGACTAGTATTTACACTAGGCGATAGTTTAAGATGAAGAATTTCGACCGCTGCCACATTCGAATAAGCGACCACCGCATTTCTAGCCTGGTGTTATACCAACTGGGTTATGAGGTTCAACTGTTGACCAGATTTCTACTTCACTTCAATCATTATGTGAATTTCTGACGCGTTAAAATGGGAGGAAGAATACCAAGGTCAGTTTGAGGAAGTAAGGAAAAACTGTTTCTGAATACACAAAGCGGGATTTCGGACTTTCGTATAGTTAAGGCTTCAACGAAAGTATACGGTCTTGAAGACTCTTATACAATGGTCTAAATGCTCTTTTGGGATCAATCCTGTGATCTGTTTCTATAACGCGTTTACCTGTCGAGGATAACATCTGTCTGCCCTTTGTATTTACAGAATTATTCGATTGTAATTGTTTTTCTAGGCAGATATCATCCGCACATTAGAAAATCAGTAAGTTGGAACTTCTGATTTAATTTTCCTAATTAATCCCTGTCATCATAATTTTCCTAGGTGCATGACTTGTCCCCAGTCACACACTATTGCTGAAATAATGCTCAGGAATGCGTGAATAATGCGGTGAATGGCGTTAACATTGCAATCGATAGGTAAGATGTGGGAATTATGTCCCAAAAATCTCCCTGCATCGCTGAAATAATGCGGTGAGCTGAAATTTCAGCCAACGGGATACAGAGATATAATATTAAGGCTGGCCATATTTAGCTATCATTTTAAATCTGAATGTGCTCCACACAAGAGACGATCTAACTATCCAATCAAGTACGTCCAAAATAACACATGAAACAAACTTGTCACTATTTCCTCTTGTGATAACCATAGAGGAATCAGCCTGCTGAACATAGTGTCGAAGATTCTAGGTTCTATAATTCTTCGACATCTGAGTGGAGCTCAGGAACAGCAAGCCGGAGAAGTCCACACAAGATTAAGACCCGGCTGGGAGTGTATCAACCAAATACTTACACTGCGCCAGGTTTCGGAACACAGACACGCATACCGATGCCCGACAATCGCTCTATTCCTCGACCTAAAGGCAGCATTTGACTCCGTGTTTGACTACCGTTGTCTTCGTAGTACAGACTGTATTCCATGGTGTCACCACACCATGTGAGTAACACAGAAGTCAGGTGTAGAGTTGAAGAGAGGGAGAAGAGGTCAGTTGAGTCAGTTGACACAGTTGTGAACCTTCATCGACTGAGATGGATAGTTGAGACATGTGTGTGTTGTGCATGCCTAGTCACCGATTGCCTCGTCACACAATGTTGGTCGAAGTAGGTGCAGAGTGGAAAAAGGCTGTTGGCTCTCGGTTACACTAAAACATGGCATCAATGTATGAAGTCTCTGACTGTTGGTTGGAGCCATGTGGGACGATATAGACTAGCCGGTTGGGGTGGGGTCCGTGGGACAAGAGGGACTAGTGGTTGTAGACTGACTCTAGGTGATCACATGGCTGAGAACCGAGGTTAGTGGTGCAGATGTATCCCCACACACACTGTCCTCATCTTCATGACGCTGTACCGAATCTCACCATTTTCTCATTCTACCTTTCTCTCCCTCTTTGAGTACTTTATATTTCCTTTGACTGAATTTTCTTATAATCATCTTACACTGTGGTGATATGAGGTGTGGCGGCGACCCAGAACGTTAAGTAGTAATGCCTGGTCCTATGTTGATATCGATGATGAATCACAATTAAATTATGTAGAGAAAAACAAACTGAGTTTTCTCTACGTAGTACATTTCTTACACCTTTATTCATAGTCATAAGTGCACATCATCACCTTAAAGTCAATGACTGATAACGATGACACTGATTTTCGTGTATGAACAATATGATCTGATTTGTTAGCGTTTACACTACTTAAACATGATAACTAGTATAGGGGTAATTCTCTGAAGTAGTGACTTCCAGAAGGTTGCATATTCTTAGAAATTTATTCTCCTACCTTATTAGGATTTCACAAATATATTTCATTTGTAATCTATTTTGATCTTGTTAAATATTTACCAATATTTCAAGTTGTTATTCATCGTCAATTGACATCAGTTGTAGGAGTAAAGGAAACCTGGAAGCACTAGACATCTGTTTCGTCCTAGTATGGGACTCCTCACAACAGTAAACACCAACAATCCCATCAGGGATCAAACCTGCGACCTTCAGGTTCAAGTTTTATTAAAGTGGATACACTGTAGTTCATTTCTTAAACTGAAATTTTCTAGAATAGTGTACAGGAAACTATCTGAATAAGTTATTCATGTGATGAGGAGAGAGAAAAAAATGGAGAAAACACACACACACACACACAAATTCCTTCATTAGTATATCAGGTCTCTTTCTCTATAGCTCTGACACACACACACACACACACATACACACACCTGACGATACGCAAACCAAAGAAACATATACAGATTAGTTTAGCACTATATATATATAAAAGAGGAATTACCAATACCTCCATTGCATATTGAATAGTAATGAATAGAAAAACTTGTAAACCACAAAATCATTCACAAATGAATATGTTATCAAGTTTTACTATCAACTAAACCGAAACGTATTTGACGCTTAGATAATTTATCACTTTCAGATAAATTATTCTCTGATATTGGTAGATTAAACTTTTTAGCTCGAATCAATTTTGTAAATTCATCATTTACATGTGTTTTTTTTATCAATAATGATATGTCTGTTTCACCGAATTTCTCCAAACGTTTAACTTTACGCTCTAAATCGGTCAACTGTAAGAAAAGATAAAAGTATTATGTATGATTGACTCAAAAGAAAATGTTATTGCTATTCAACAGACTGATTAATTTTTTTTTTAAAGTATACAATACTACTTATAAACGTCCACCACTAGATATTTATGTATTCGACACTCGACCTATATAGTAAACCAAACCATATATTCACTTCAGACTTGATGGTTGTGTCAGTAGATGACGAAATCTTTGCATGGATACAAAAGGTTTGATTGGCTTTCCCTGATTGACACCATCTGTGGCAACGCCACGATATCCAACTGTCCATTAAAGATCGAGTGTACTGCGTTGAAGTCTGCTCTCTTCTACTCTATGACTGTGAAACTTGGCCATAGAAGGTGGAAGACATGACGGCTTGTGCACACGTATCAGTTTAGTAAGGAAGAGGAAGGATAAAGTGTATCCACAGTGTAATCCTCTCACATCTAGTAGATATCGGATATTAAATTATAGTAGATCACGCCTTTTCTGTGATATATATATCGTGTACCTTGCAATCTCTTTAAAGGAGCATGACAACGCATCTTAACCATAGACGAAGCCATAGGTATCAATGCAAGAAAATATGATCTATATGTTGCAAGGAAATATGTACACCCACTTCATGTACCTTGACCCACAATAGGGTTAACAACACGCTCTTTATAAACTTTTCTACCACAAGTTTCTAATTTTAACATCCCACCCCTTTCTTCCCCATAGTCTCTTGGATTTCATTGTTAAACATTCATTTTCTTGTTAGTTGGATGGAGGCAATCGGCAGGAAGCCATGATGGACCTAAATTTCATGCTTGTTAACACTCGTCAGTAAGGCGTATCTACAACTCATGACGGGATTGATGTCCCGCCTGACATTGGAATCCGCGTCATCCGGTGTGTTGGTCAGCCATTTTACCACTGAGCTATTCAGGTTACAACTGACCTCCTGTAGGAATGGATTAGATACATTAATTGGTCACTGGAGGAGGGTAACCAACTTTATGTTGAGAGTCCTAAATGCTGACAGAATTCTGGTCACCAAACTGGGCAGCTCAGCGTTGCGATGCTCTTTGGCAGATGTTAGTTGGTTGAAGGGATTTTCTTGTGTTATTATTCATATCATTACCGGTAGTTATTTTCAACCGTTACATAACACTTCATATTTGTTTGTTTTTTGTCTCGTTATTGTATTCACATGATTTTTAACTCTACTTGAATACAACTCATCGATGACCCTTAGTAAACACACACACACACACACATATTAAATACAATTTGTATTTATATAAGACACAGTCTGCTAGGAATGGAATAATCCCAAGGTTTCGAACACAAGTCTAGTCTGAGTCGTAATCGTTAAGTATGACATAACACTTAACAGTATAGGTAATTGGAAACTATCGCCTGCAAGTAGCTTATGACTACTGGCATTGTTCAGTAGAGTATTTCGGTACAGTACTCCACTTATTTACCCTTTCTGCCATGATATACAAGAACAACTATGGTGAATGCTAGTTATAGCAGCAGATATATACATAGTATATATGAAGCGATACATCCCTCGGTAAACTAAACAGAATTATCATTGAATCAGTAAAAGTTCTAAAGGTTGGGGGCGGTAATGACAAGAATACAAAAGAAACATACAACGATAATCAAGAACTAAATAAAGTTGAAAAATTTGTCATCTTAGATTCAGGATGCATAGAATATTTGCATGTGCGGATCAAACTACAACGCCGAGCTACGCATCATCATAAAACAGAGTATAGAATGCCAGTCAACTCTTTACCCTAACTTTATCGACTTTGAAAGGGCCTTCGATCGAGAAGCAATATGGCAGCTGCTTCAACACTACGATTTTAATGCCACAAACCTTTGTTAGGCTCATTCAACAGCAGCTATATGATAATGATGATACTACATACTAAGTGATTCATAATGGAAAGCTTAGTGATGCCTTTGTAATGAAGACAGGTTGACAGGAAAGACAATGTTGCCGTCTACTATCACCGATCATCTCCTTCATTGTGGTCAACTGGATCATGCAACAGACTGTGGGGAGCGAGAGGAGGGGCATACGCTGTTTCACCGATGAAAAGACCCTAGAAGATTTGGATTTCGCCGATGATGATTTATGTCTAATGCCTTGTCTCACAAACTCGAAAATCTACAAGCAAAAACTAACAAGTTGGCAGAATAGGCAGGGCAGCCAAGGAAGACGGCAATATCCTTCAGGTGAACGTAGAGAAGATGAAGGTGATGAAGATACCCAACGAACAACAACAACAAGCACCAATCACCATCAACAGGAGAAATCTAAACGAAGTTGTCTCTTTCACCTACCTATTTAGGCAGCATCCTCTCAACTACAGGCACGGATGACGATGCGAAAGCCACGATCGGAAAGACAGCAAGACAGGTCTTCAGTCATCTGAAATCAGTGTGGAGATCTACTGCACCGCACTGCACTCAGCCTTAAGAACAAGATCCGGATTATAAACAATAAGTCAGTCAAGTAAGCCAATGTCTCTTATGTGACGGTTGACAGACTTAGAGCGTTGCGAAAAGCATTTTCAACAAACTCAAGACATTCATCAACAGTTGCCAACTACGATCACTCGATACTAAAGATCAGATGGTCAGAAAGAATAAGCAAAGAGGAAGTCTAGCCGAGCAACTAACCGACCAACAAATATGGATTGGATTATATATAAACTGAGAAGACCGTTTGGGGACATTAAGCTTCAAGCCAGACTATTGAGTGGAACCCAGATGAGAAACGATAAATTAGGTGTCCGAAGGTGATATGGAGGAGATCGCGTAAGAATGAAATGAAAGCTTGTAGGCAGTCGTGAAACCAGATTCAAAAGTTTGTAGAGAAGAGAATGAAATGGAGACGTGCTACTGAAGCCCTATGTTCCACTAGGAACCCAAGGGATAAGTAATAATAATAATAATAATATGCGAAATAATAATTATACATTAACTCAACCTTTTCCAACGTTTTGCTAGTGGTTTGACCAAAACGCTCAGCTCGTCTCTTCAACTTTTCCAATTCATCAATTTTTGTACCATTTTTAGAATATTGTACATTAACATCATCAATTGGTAAGCCAAATCTTTTAGCACGAGCAATCAATTTATCATCAGTCAAAATGTTTACTTTATCTAAGTTTTCACCTTTAAAACGTTTTGCACGAAGGATTATACGCTAAAAAAATTAACATAGACAGGTAGAAAGTGATAAGAAATAAAAAGAAATCGGATTAATTAAAATTTTACTGAATATTTAACCCCCAACGAAAATGGAAGTCCTGAACGCCATAAAGCTACTGAAATGTGGGAAAGCAGCAGGACCAGATGGAATACCACCAGAAGCACTGAGAACAGACGCAGAGACAACAGCGGACATGCTCACACCACTATTGCAGAAGGTGTGGAAGGAAGAGAAGGTACCTGACGATTGGAAGAAGGGTTACCTTGTCAAACTGCCGAAGAAGGGAGACCTCAGTGCTTGCAAGAACTGGCGCGGAATCACTCTCCTGTCCACCCAATACAAGCAAAATATTAAGCCGCATCATCCTGGAGAGGCTAAAGGATGCACTGGATTCAAAACTACGAGTGGAACCGGCTGGCTGGATTCAGGAAGTACAAATCATGTGCAGACCAAATTGCAACGCTTCGCATTATCATAGAACAGAGCATAGAATGGCAATCAGCTCTCTGCCTCAACTTCATCGACTTTGAGAAGTCCTTTGACAGCGTCGACCGAGAAGTAATTTGGAAACTGCTTCATTACTACAGAGTACCGCAAACCTTTATCCGCCTCATTCAACAACTATATGAAGATGCCACATGCCAAGTAATTCACAATAAGAAGCTCAGTGATGCTTTTGAAGTGAAGTGAAGACAGGAGTGAAACAAGGTTGCCTACTATCCCCCATGATATTCCTGATTGTGGTGGACTGGATCATGCGGCAAACAGTAGGCAGCGAGAAGAGGGGGATACACTGGACGACGGAAAAGAACCTAGAAAACTTGGATTTCGCCGATGACTTGTGCCTAATGTCACATAAACTTGAAGATCTGCAGGCAAAAACTAACAAGTTGATAGAAGAGGCAGCCAAGACGGGACTTCAGGTGAATATAGAGAAGACAGAGGTGATGAAGATACCGCACCACCACCATCAACAACAACAACAACAAACTCCAATCACTGTCAACGGGAGAAACTTAAAGGAAGTAACCTCCTTCACTTATCTAGGAAGCACTATTTCAACTACAGGCGGCACAGACGAGGACGTCAAAGTCAGAATCGGAAAAGCAAGACAGGCGTTCATCAGCCTGAAACCAGTGTGGAGATCTTCTGCACTCAGCATGCGGAACAAGATACGGATTTTCAACACCAACGTCAAGTCAGTGCTCTTGTATGGTTCAGAGACTTGGCGCGTCACGAAAGGCATTTCCAATAAACTACAGATATTCATCAACAACTGCTTACGCTGGCTCGCTACTGAAGATCAGATGGATTGCCAGAAAGAATAAGCAACAAGGAACTCTGGGAACGAACCAACCAAGAACCTATCACTCAACAAATATGCAGGAAGAAGTGGAGATGGATTGGCCATGCACTGAGAAGGCCGACTGAGGACATCACGCGTCAGGCCAGTTGCTCGAGTGGAATCCCCATGGGAAGCGACGAGTTGGACGTCCAAGGGTGACATGGAGGAGGTCGTGCGAGGAGGAAATGAGAGGTTGTGGGCTGTCGTGGGACCAGGTTCAAAAGATCTCAGAGAACAGAGGTCACTGGAGGCGTGCTACTGAGGCCCTATGTTCCACTAGGAACCCAAGGGACTAATAATAATAATATAATAATAATGCAGAATAATAAATGTCAGTCGAAGTCAACTTATTTCTGTATAGGATTTATGTATTCCAGTTGAAATCTAGTCTGAAACTTGAAAGAGAACTCTATATACGTGTTCTTTTGTATACCGTTAATATGTTCTACCTGAAACCAACTAGATAGTTACAGTCAATGAATATTGTTCACATCTTACTGATAGCCAGTCTAACAACAGATAGGGAACTGGCTAATAATGTTGATTATTCCACTTAATCAGACAGCTATTTAAACCCCTCTGATGACTTATATTGATAAACAAAATCTTACAATGAATGAAAAACACTTTGATAAACTTTTATCAACATATACCACTTTCAGTGCCGACAGGAAACTCGATCAGCTATTAAGGCATCCATTTATTGTGTACTAATCTAAGAATATGTAAAATGTCTATTAAGGATAAAGGATGTGACAAGGATGTGATATATATATATATATATATATATATATATGTCCCTTTGGTTCCTAGTGGAATATAGGGCTTCAGTAGCATGTCTCCATTCAACACTCTTCTCTGCAATCTTTCGAACCTGCCTCCACAACAGACCAGAAGCTCTCATTTTCTCCTCACACGATCTCCTCCGTATCACCCTCACCTCAGACGACCAACTCGTCGCTTCCCATCTGGGTTCCACTCGAGTGCCTGGCCTGGTGCGTGATGTACCCAGTCGGCCTCCTCAGTGTATTCCCAATCCATCTCCACTTCATTCCAGTGCATATTTCTTGAGTGATAGGTTCTTGCCTTGTTGGTTCCTTGCCAGACTTCCTTGTTGTTTATTCTAATCATTCTGGCTATCTGAGCTTCAGTAACGAGCCAATGTAGGCGGTTGTTGATGAATATCTGTAGTTTATTGGAAATCCCTTTTGTAACGCGTCAAGTTCCTGAGCCATACAGAAGCACTGACTTGACGTTGCTGTTGAAAATCCGGATCTTGTTCCACATGTTGATTGCAGAAGATCTCCACACTGGTTTCAAGCTAATGAACGCCTGTCTCGCTTTTCCGATCCTCGTTTTGACATCACCGTCTCTGCCGCCACCTGTAGTTGAAACGATGCTGCCTAGACAGGTGAAAGAGGCTACTTCCTTTAAGTTTCTCCTATTGATGGTGATTGATGTTGGTTGCTGCTGTTGGTTGGGTATCTACAACTACAGAGGTTCAATATAAACTCTTGAGTAAATAAACTATATTGAACAATTAGATTAAGAACGTTTCATCGACTGAAATAGCTAACAAATATGTTATATTAGGTGAAGTACACTTAAGTTAGACAAAAGATGAAGATGTTCACATTAAAGATGGAATCAGTTTATGAAATGGACAGAAAATAGCCACTATATCATTGAGAAAAAGAAAATCTTAAGATAACACGTCTTTCTGTTAGTTTCATCATCAAGTTACCACACTTTACAATAGTATACGAAGAATAGGTGTATAATAAAAAAAAGTGATATTAAAGTAGACACAATAAACAATCTGAGAATAAAAGGTTAGTGTGAATATTTAAGGTTCAGAAGATGTCAAGGAGTAAATATATCTGAGCCATTGTAACCGATTTTTGACCATGTCACCAAGAATCCTTAACCATTAATTCCTCTCGCCTTGTGGACCTCACTATAACCCCATCTACTTGTCTATACGATTCGTTATTAAACATTCATGGTGTATTTTTTCTTCTAAGCAACAATTCCCTAATTCTTTCAGGTGACATTCTGATCATTGAAATCCAACCAGCAATCACATGATTTAGGGTTGCTTATGACTACAAATTGGTTGTCTAGACCTCGGTAAATAGGGTGGAGTTTGAACCTGTGATCCACATATATTGAGAAGCAAGTAACACCACCATTCTATTTACAATATTTCAATGGACATATAGGATATACAAAAGGCACACGAACACACACACAGAGACACGTATGTGTATCTCAGCTTAATTTTGAGATTTAGCAATATTTCAAGTTGCTATTCACCGTAGACGACTGACATCAGTTGGAGGAACAAAGGAAACCTGGGAGCACTGGACAGCTCTTTCATCCGGCGGGAGTAAAGCCTGATGGTTGTGAGGACAGGTGAAGACTGGAGTTTTCGATCCAACACTCTAACAACTGAGCTACAAGGCAGAGCAGGAAACCAAGTGATTACTCGTTCGGATCTCACCCCTGTTAAATCATGGTTGCTATCTCAGATAGTCAAAAATGATAACTAAAGATAATTGTAAGCAATAACTAATCAGTGAAGTCAAAGTGAATAACAAATTCAATTTGCTTATATCCATGTATGCACTTTACAATCATGGTCAGTGTGTACAACACATCTTACTTCGGATAAACTGCCCAAGTTGATTGGTGCACTAAGATTGTAATTCTTCATTGGATCGTACTGATCGTCCTTTTTTGGCATATGGACTCCTATGAGGATGCGTCGATATTGCCTGAACATGTATTATCATAATTTACTTGGTTGTGGGTAACAGAGGAATTCAAGACACGCATTTCGTCCTATTTAGGACTCATTAGATGGATGTACCTGTACCCCAGTAAAAGATGTTTTCCCCTCTGGGACTCGAACCTCGTACCTATTCGCTCCAAACGTTAAGGCGTTATCCACTAGGCCATAAAGACACGATAGCCACTTCTTGTACAAAGGGTAGTAGTTATTCCTATTTATTGATATACTCATGATTCTCCGTTTTTTACGACTGGGGAAGGGGAGATCAAAGCCAAAGTCGTTTATCTAATTATACGGGGTTTACGGCAGTATGGTGCTTCCCTGAAGATGACCAGTTTTCCATCATCCCCTTATAACAGAACTTTATAGTCCCTCTTTTTCTTTGGTTTTAAAGTCCCTACGAAAAAGGGTTTTCTAGTTCGAACAAAGAACATCAAATCCCAGACAGAAATCTCTCTTGAAGGCCGGGTGTAGACCAATCTCAAGCCGATGTCTTTGAGCTGTGAGGTCATGCATCACGAATCGGATTCAGTTCCAGACACTGTGTGGCCAACCATCACACCTGTCTCAAAATCAAAGTCCCTTCTAATCCACATTGCTGCGCTCTAATCTTCCCTCAATTCTCTCCGTTGACAATCCCACATCTTAAAATTTTCCCATTGTTCCAACCCTTAATAACGACTACAATCGATGAGACACCATTCTCTGGTCGTTCGAAAGCACGTTCCTGACTACATATTGAAGCTTTCAATGTCTGCACTCATAGTGAACACGATTTGTTACAGGAAACTCCGGTACTTTGAGCCATAAACACGTGTTGTGTGTGAGACACGCATATAGGACCCAAGTGTTTTGATTCACTAAGCTTCACTTGACTAATATGAAAAATCTTCGAAATTCATCCTTAGAATATCTGAGGATTCCATAGTTAGTACTTATGATCTTACAAGTTTACGTTTAGCGTTGGTTCTAAGGCAGAAAGTGCCGTACTCAACTCGTTGTGAACTGTGCGTTGTTCGACTGAATGTTGTAGTAAGAACTAAGCAGAATAGTAAAACTTACCATCGTCTTTTTGTGATCTCTACTTACACTCCTACTGACTACAATTCGGATGAAATGAAGGATGAGTTCTACCGAAAACTGTTTTAATAATAACCAAATGTTCAGATATGGTTGCCGCAACGAATCATTTTAATGTATAAATGGGTAGATTGAGTCACATAAAGAAAGGCATTTAGGTAACAGTTTCAGAATCTCAGCTGAACGAACGAATAATGGTAATCGTCTGCTACAAATGTACTCAGACAACTATCTATCTTTATGGTCAACGCGAACTTCAGACATTGTGTCCATCGACTTCAACTGAACGGTGAACATATAGACCATACTGTTATCATTTATCGCTGGAGAAGGTCGACGGAAGATTTCCACTCTTCCCCTGAGCACTTGTTTAGACAGTGGTTACACGTGATTCGATCATATGTATGTCTTCAACTAAATAGACATTGAAAAATTATAGTTAAGAGACTATCTCGGATACAGTTTGATAATCAGGATACTAAGGCTGATTTGAATGAGGAATTGGCCAGACAGTTTTCAGAACAGGTAACTACATGAATCCAGAAGAAGTTTGACATCATTTCCAGCGTTACAGATGACACCTCGACTCTGAGAATTAAAAGATGAGCCTGAAGGCATTTCTGCTGGCTTCGAGCACAATGAGGAGGGGAAGCAATTCGAATCTACATCAACAAGTAGTTTACATAGTAACTATGAGCGGTGATGGTTTGTAAAGGCTTAAGAGAAGGAGAAGATAGATTTGCCTTTGTTCTTGTCTTCGATCTTTCGACCTCAATACACGTTCATCGTGTCTTCTTCACTAATTAGTCGGGTTGGGAATCAACTAAGAACGTTGGTAGTTGACACCGATATCTGTGCATTGTTAGCGCCAGTCAAATCATTATTTACTATGCCGGTTTAAATACCTCCTTCAGTTGATGACATCGTCAATAACATCACTACGATTATGGTACCACCAATGAAACTTTCGGTGCTTGGTTCAAGCGTTACGAAGACTACTTCAAAGTGGATTTTGCTGACCAAGATGATTCCTGGAAAATAATGCCCCCTACTTCAAAAGCATGGTCCACCTGAGATCGACTTAATACTGCAACATGATTTCGCCGCACAACCCACGTGATCGCATTTTCAACGCCACAGTCCAGACACTGAATGAAGTATCCACAGAATATCAACGACTGCACAACCTGCAGCGTGATATGAGTCTAGCTCAATCCAGACGGCAGAGTGGTTCTGAAGTACATACAGTTCGCTAGACATCTCACTCCTCTATATAACCCTCTAACCACACACACCCCGGCCTTGTCTCGCCGGTTTATCGGCCCATCAACTCGTGCAATACCAACCGACTTTGGAAGAAGACATTCCCATTGCTTTGCCGACATTTCGTCAAATCTTTTTCGCCTAAACAACATTGATGCCGTGAATGTAATGCTGGGGTTCATAAGGACACTTTTTACAGCCAATACACACAACGACGTGTACAAAGACCATCCTATAGATATCGCCGCAGATCTTATTCTCGAACGATAAGTAAATCCCTTGGCTTGACAGCTGGTTTTCATGCTCATGTACCTGCCTACCGAAAGAATATCAAGAAAAACTACTGATCCCCCAGTAAATGAGAAGAAACTCCCTCTACATCAGTCAGATAGATGCAAGGAAAAGACAGTGCAGTCCAGTCTCATCCGAAATCCCATTCTATTGAAGAGGGAGACGACATGCGGATAGAGAGAAATGACGCACAGAAGTATCAATAAAAATCTACTTTATGGAATCACATCTACAGTTAGACAGACAGATAGACGGTAGAGTAGCCAATTAGTAGGATTATCTTATATATATATATATATATATATATATATATATATATATATATATATATATATATATATATATAAGATGTATTTTTCTTTGTTCTGGTTTTCGGTCTTTCAACCCCAATACACGTTACTACACATCCATCGTGTCTTCTCCACTAGTAAGTCGAATCGGGAATCAACTAGGAATTCGTTAAACATTCATAACTGACATTCGATATCTGTGCAATGTTAACAGCAATAGCAATATAGCAGTTTTCGAACTATAACAGTGTGGACCTTCATCGACCTAGGTAGGTTGAACATATGTTGGATTGATCGAGACAGCCCCTGTCTACCCCGACGCATGGACAAAGGGAAATGTGAGATCAAGGCAAGAAGTCTTCAGCTATTCGCTTGTCATATATAGAAATCTTGACCTTTAAGCTTGGATGAGCAAGACGAACAAAACAGATCGTTGAAGAACTTCGATGATCTGGGTTGACATCGAAAAAGTAGTGGCGCAGAAACATCCGTCATGATATGAAATATAGCAGCTTGAAATATTTATTACGCTAGAAATCTTATTCTATGCTGTTGATTCTGTTAACCAATGACTCAAGTAGCCGATTCGAGAGAAAGAAAACAGGACAATTTGCTTCAGGTCATCAGATTTACGACTAAGAAGTATTCTAGATAAATTATGACCAGTATAGTGTTGACAAAACGCTTCATCATCAATATTAACACAGGCTCAGGCATTACTGCACAATGGTCCAATTTGCTGCCCCACACCTCATATCAGTACATCAAGTAACTAGGTAATCAGATAAAAGATGAAGATGAGGAAATGCTGACATTCAGCATAGTGGTTAAGATAAGCAAAATGTGTATATATATCTGCACTACTAATATCGATTCTGAACCATACCACTTAGAGTCAGTCTCCGACCATTTGTTTCTCTTGTCCCGTCGACTTCAACTAGCTAGTATGTACTGCTGCATATGGCTCAAACCAACAGTCAAAGACTTCATACATTGATGGCATGTTTTAGTCTGGCCGTCCCAAAACATTTACCAGCTTGAATCTACTTCAGCTAATATTGCACGATGAAGCCGACGGTGACTGGGCATGCACGTCATATGTCGCAGCCATCTCACTCGATGGAGGTTCATAACAGCATCAAATAACTATCCTCTCTAAAACTATACACCTGACTTCTGAGTTACTGACATGATGATGCCACGATACACCGTAACGGTGATCAAACACATGAAGTCTTCTCATTTCCTCTAACATAAATAAACATACAAAAATAAGGTAGTAAACCCTTACCTCTGAATCGGATAGGCTTAATGTACCATCTTTACAGTCGCTATGCTTGTCCTCAACAATCGGCAAACTTTCTATTGAAGTTTCACTTTTCATTGGAATATCTTCAGATGTAAGAAGATCGCTAGCAGGACGCTTAAGGCCAGTGCTCTTGGTCGCAGATACAATAGGGAAGTCAAGAGTGTCTGATGTTGTCTTACTACAGTTCAACTCTGAAGAATGCGACATACTAACATCGTTTGAATCACCATCATCGTTGTCTCCAAGCAGTTCAGCTTCATCACCAGGTTGCAAAATCACAAATTTATTGCCTGAAAGAAACAAGATAATAATAATAATAATAATAATAATAATAATAATAATAATAATAATAATAATAATAATAATAATGCCTTTATTCTGAAAGCTATTTCAGGAATACTCTACAGAATTTTCAGAACATTATATGGCATCATTTAGAGAGAAACAATGCACATGTATACATAACAAAATGAAATAAGTCGAAAATTACATGAAGAAAAGATAAAAATATTCACTCGATCTACAACTTTCTTTAAAATGCATAGTCAATTTACATAGACAATCATAATGCCAACAATTACATTCATAATATGTACATAGTAACATCCTCCTCATCATCATCATCATCGATTAGTTTCCTATCAAAAACAGAAGTTGATTAGTGTTACTTCATCTCTGACACTTTCTTCATCACACAGTAGATGAGCTAAATACCTACGGTATTATAGAGTTTTTATACTTTGTAGTACCTGGATAGAGTCTTATTTACTTGCTCCTTGTCTTTCCAGATGATCAACACACAGACAGATTTGAGTGAAGATGATGTTGGTCATCTGTTAAAATAACTTCTGATAGATGTTTATATGAGTCAATATATTTGTCCACAATTGTCTTAACTAGAAGGTTCAGAGGTACACCACTAGTTCTGCTGACAATCTTCAACGTTCTATGCAATACACACCCCATTCATTTTCCAACAACCCAGGAAGGAATAAAGGTGAACAATAGAGGAGGACAGGCAAGATGGAGGAGTTTATAAAACATAAGAGGAGAGGCTGAGTAATACCAGATACTCTCAGCTTCCTAATTTAAAAATTTCGGCGGAAAATTCTTTTGGAAATTAGTAAGATATAGGGAAGGACCAGAAAAGGTCTGAAGGAAAACATATGCCAAGATAATTCACACTTGTAACATTCTCCAATGCACAACTTTCAATAGAACGGGAATCATGAGAGCTAAGCAGTTTGCATAAGTTATGTTCACGTCTAGAACTAAAGTTCGTAGTGTGGTATTTTGGAGAATTAAGCATAAGATCATTCACGGAAGACCACATCTTAACAGTAGATAGAAAGGAAATCATTCAGTTGGGAACAATCTGTTGAAGAGGAGATGGGTAAGGTATAGAAACTGTTAGATGACTAGGGTATTTGATGAAATTGATACTACCTGAAGATGGCAGGTCATGCAGAATGAAAGAGAAAATATAAGGGGGACAGGATGGTTCATTGGGGAGCACCAGTCACAGTAGACAATGAGGTGGAGCGCTTCCCTCTGTGAACAGTATATTGTTTCCTATCAGAGGAATAAAAATGCAACCAGCTGATCATCCAGGACTCAGTAATCGTTCCGGTTAGTCTATCCAGCAAAAGAGGTGTTGGTACCGAATCGAATGCCGAAGTATAGTCTGAAAGGGCACACCTCACATACTTCGCATTTTTTATCAAGAATATAAGCAACATTATGATATAAGAGAGTGTTCGTATTCAAAGTGCTACTTCAGCTTTTATATCCAAATTAATTCGAACCAAAAGAGGAAATGATAATAAAACTCAGTATATAGCACAAATCGATTCCATTATCTATACTTTTCATATACAAAAATGTTAGGTAACTAATGTTTTCATTATCGATTTTACACGGAATTTCGTGCAATCCTATAAAAGGTAAACATTACTATGCAACTATTTTACTCAGCAAGTGAAGCAATTTGGTACCAGAAAAAAATAAACACTAAGATTGTGTCAACAACCTTGTAATGAACAAGATACAGGTGAATTATTGAACGAGTCAATTAGATGACACGTAAAATCATATCACTCAATCTATCTACTGTTAATTAGATGGATTATCGATACATGTCGGTTATAAATCAAATCCTATATGCAAAACATTCTCAATCAAGGCATCAATTACAATTATCCAAAGACTATGTCTAATTTACCATAAATCGTTATAAATCTCATTCAGCAGCTGAATGACGACACCACATGCTTAGTGATCAACAATGGAAAGCTCAGTAATGCCTTTGAAGTGAAGTGAAGACAGGAGTAAGACAAGGTGGCTACCTGCTACCACCCATCATATTCCTGATTGTAGTGAACATCATCATCATCATCATCATTATCAACATAGGACCAGGCATTACTGCGTAACGGTCCGAGTTGCCACACCTCATATCAGCACATCAAGTAAAAAGGTAGTGAGGTGAAGGATGAAGATAAGTGAATGCAGTCAAAAGAAATATAAAGTACGAGAAGAAAGGAAAGAGGAGTGACAAAATAGTGAGATTCGGTATAGCGTTGTTAAGATGAGGATAATGTGTGTATACATCTGCGCCACTGACTTCGGTTCTGAGCCATATCACCTAGGGTCTCCAACCACTGGTTCCTCTTGTCCCGTGGACCCCAACCACCTAGTCTGCATCGTCCTACATGGCTTAAACCAACAGTCAGAGACTTCATACATTGGTGCCATGTTTTAGTCTGGCCACCTCGGGCCTTTTTCCAGCCTGAACCCACCTCAGCCAACATTGTGTGACGAGGCAATCGGTGACTAGGCATACGTAGTACGTGTCCCAACCATCTCAGTCGATGAAGGTTCACAACCTCGTCGACTGACTTACCTCTTCTCCCCAAAACTCTACACCTAACTTCTGCATTACTCACATGGTGACACCACGGAATACGTCCTATACTACGAAGGCAACGGTGGTCAAACACCTGAAGCCTTTTTGTATCTTCCACTTTCAATGGCCATGTTTCACAGCCATACAGTAGAACAGAGCGGACTGCTGTGCAGTACACGCGACCCTTAATAGACAAACGAATATCACGGCGGCGCCATAGGTGGCGCAAATTGGCAAAAGCCAATCGAGCCTTTTGTATCCGTGCAGAAATCTCATCGGCAACTAACCCACCGGAGTTGATCCTACTTCCCAGGTAAGTGAAGTGGTCAACACACTCAACCACTTCACTCTCTATTGTTAACCGCGGTACCGCTGAAGACCAGTCCTGGAGCAAAAATTTGCATTTGGGTGGTGAAAATCGCATCCCAAACATTCTCAAATTCCCACTCAAAGTGTTCAGAAGACTCTGCATCTTGTCAGCGTCTTCACCTAACAGGACTATGTCATCTGCATATTCTAGATCTAAGGAAAATTCACCTGTGATCCGGTCAACGTCTTTGTAATTAGGTGACGAGAGGGAAACCTCCATAAGAATATCTATGATAAAATTAAATAAGAATGGGGATAGTGGGCATCCTTGACGGACACCACTTGATGAGTATAGCTCCCTGGACAACTCACCATAGGCTCTAACATGCCCACAAGTGTTCGAGTAGAGAGCTTTCAATAAGGTGATGTACTTACTAGGCACGCCTTTCAGTGACAGACACTGCCATAAGACTTCTCGATCAACGGAGTCAAATGCCGCCTTCAGGTCGAGAAATACAGCTATTGTCGGGCGTCTGTAAGCATGCCTATGTTCCAGGACCTGGCGCAGTGTGAATATTTGGTCGATACATCCACGGCCAGGTCTAAAGCCTGCCTGGTTTTCTCGGGCTTGCTGTTCCCGAGCTCCACTCAGGCGTCGGAGAATTATAGAACTTAGGATCTTAGACACTATGTTTGTCAGGCTGATTCCTCTGTGGTTATCACAAGAGGACTTCTCGCCTTTCTTGAAGACTGGGATGATCAGTGACTTAGACCAGTCGGAGGGGATCGTATTTGATTCCCATATACTGGCTAACACTTCCGTTAGCCTGACTAAGAGAACTCTACCACCATTCTTGTATACCTCAGCAGGTAGTCCGTCTGGTCCTGCTGCCCTTCCCCGTTTCAGGCTACCTACCGCTTTCTCAACTTCTTCTAGTGTTGGGGGACCTGTCTCTATGTCCCATTCAGGGTCCGACTGGATAGCGGGCAGCGCAATGGTGGCTGGAGGCCAGTTAAACTGTTCCTCAAAGTGTTCTGCCCATCGTCCCAGTCGCCTTCCCTGCGAGTGAATCGCCGATCCGTCCTTCTCCGCTATAACCTCACTAACTGTTGTTGACCATTTCCCCCCAGTCTCCTTAATAAGTCTAAATAACTGTCTACTGTTACCGATCGCCGCTGCCTTTTCCATCTCTTTAGCCTTTGCTGCCCACCACTGTTCACGATCGTTGCGCAGACTTTTCGTCAGTTTATTTTTAAGTTGCGCTCGCTCTTCATTGTACTCAGAGCCTGCAGGGATGCATTCACGTGCATCCATTAGTTTGGAAGAAGCTGCTGATATCCACTGGCTCTTTTTAGCCATTATCTTGGAGTCGGCTACAGTCTCCAGTGCTGCTTTTACAGTAGACTGAAGATGGCACCAAGCTTCTTCTGGATGAGTGACAGTCTTTTGTTCCGATAACTGCCTAGCCAACTTCTCACTGAACACGGCTTTGGTGTTTTCGTTGTCCAGCAGAACTCGTAGTGGTTTTGTTGCCAAATTTTTTCTACGTCCATTGAGACGCAGGCATATACGTGCTCGGACCAACGCATGATCGCTGTCCAAACACGTACTCCAGAAGGAGCGGCAGTCTTCCACCGATCCTCTCCAGCGATGACTAATAGCAATGTGGTCTATCTGTGTCCATCGCTGAGTCGAGCTCGGTGGACGCCAGGTCAGACAGTGCCTTTCTTTATGTCTGAAATTTGTGCTGGCTAAAAATAGGCGGTTATCTGAGCATAGTTGTAATAGGCGATCACCGTTATCTGTACGTTCAGCTGGGATTCCGAAAGTGCCACCTAAGTGCCTTTCTGCCTCACTCAGTCTACCCACCTGTGCGTTGAGGTCACCTGCAACAACCACTACGTCCGAACGTTTGGCTTTCGAGAGGAGGTTAGACAGTTTATGGTAGAACTCGTCCTTCACTTCATCCGAACTACAGTCAGTGGGTGCGTAAGCAGAGATTACAAAGAGACAACGGCGAGTCTCACTATTCCTTTTAGTTCTCACTGTGCCGTTCAGCCTCATAGCGCAGAGGC